CTTTCTTTCTTTCTTTCTTTCTTTCTTTCTTTCTTTCTTTCTTTCTTACTTTTTCTTTTTTTCGTCTCTCTGTATAGCCTTGGCTGTTCTGGAACTCACTCTGTAGACCAGGCTGACCTCGAACTCAGAAATCCACCTGCCTCTGCCTCCCAAGTGCTGGGATTAAAGGCGTGCACCACCACTGCCCGGCTTGTGTCTTTTATTTATTATCACAGTTATCAATAATGTGTGCAGAGGTCAGAAGACAGCTTTTTAGAGCCAGTTCTCCCCCTTCTCCTACCTGGGTCCCAGGGATGGGTTCAAGGCTTGCCCAAATGCTGCCTCCCACCGAGCCCCGCACTAGACTCAGGGCCTTATTTTTTGAGACAAGGTGTCACTGTGAAGCCCAGACTGTACTTGAACTCGGTGTCTCTGCTCCCAAAAGAGTCAAAAGAGTGTGTCAGATCCCATGCAACTAGAGTTACAGGTGGTGATGAGCCACTGTGTGGGTGCCGGGAGTGAAGTGTGGGTCATCTGCAAGAGCACGCATTGCCCTTAACCCCTGAGCCACTTCCTCTCCAGCCCTTCCACTTCAGTTTTCAAAACTATCAGATGAGGGTCAGGAGATCGCTCAGAGTGTAAGAGCACAGATTACTCTTGCAATAATCTCTCTCTCTCTCTCTCTTTTCTCTGTCTCTGCCTCTCTCTCTCTCTCTCTCTCTCTCTCTCTCTCTCTCTCTCTCTGTCTGTCTCTCTTTTCTCTGTCTCTGTCTCTCTTGTGTGTGTGCGCTCTCTTGTGCATGTGTGTGTGTGTGTGCTCACAAATGTCATGGCGAGTGTTCCGTGGCAAGTTTGTGTGGAGGTCAGAGGACAGCTCTGTGGAATTGATTCTTTGTTGTGGAGGTGACCTTTATATGGGTCCTGGAGCTGGAACCCCCTTGCATGGCAAGTGCCATTACCCCCTGAGCCATAGTTGTTTTGCTTTGCTTTGTGGTTTTGGCTTCCAAATGAAAAGAAAAAAAAAAAACTGTCTTGGAGTTCCCAGGGCTTTCAGAATCATTAGCCCTGGCTAAACCTCTTTTAATGTTGGTTATGCCTCTTCACATTGCTATTTTGTCTGTGCTGTGACTACGGTCAGTAACTTCTCTTCTTATTTCAGAATCCTTGAAAAAGACGAAAACAATGTTGATGCCTGGCAAATTCTAGCTTTGCATGAGCTCGTGAAAGAAGGAAACACGGACAGAGTAAGCAGCCTCGAGACTCAGAAGCTCAGCCAGGGACACATCTGTAATCCCAGGAGTCAGAGGCAGGATGATCAGATATGAGTTCAGGTCAAGACCCTGTCTGCCCAAAAAAGAGAGAGACAGAGACAGAGAAACAGTGAGAGGGGGAGACCGAATCGGTTGAGCAATGAACAGATATGATACAAAGAGGAGCCCGCTGTACCCCAAGCCCCAGCCTCACCCCTGCCTCCACCCCCACCCCATCCCCAGACCCACCACCCACCCCAACCCAGTGCCCCACACTCCCCACCCCAGCCTCACCCCAACCCCCACTCCCACCCCAGCCCCAGCCCTGGCTTTTGGTTAACAAGACATACACAGTCCTAAGGGGGTCACAGGAGAAGGAAGTTCTGTCTCCTCCCATCTGTAGCGCTCTGAGATGTGGGCTTCTGAGATGAAGCAATATAGAGAAACAGCCTGGAGCAGGGGAAAACCCTTGAAAAGGGCCCTGGCATCATCTCTGGGAACAAGAACACAGATCTGTTTCCCGCTCCTGGCCAGGCCTTCTTCAGACCTGGCATCAGCAGGGTCACCATAAAGGCAAGGCAGGGTCAGCATCTCATGCCCTGTTTTTGCCCCCCCCCCCCAACTCCTCAAGCTCTGGGACGTCCCAAGTGCTCCAGCCTGGCTGCCTAGTTCTAATCCTGTCTCATTGAGGAGAGCAGACCCACTGGGCCCCCCATCCCCTCCTCTCCACTTTCTCTCCCTCTCTTTTGCTCTCTTGATCCGTGTGTGTGTGTGTGTGTGTGTGTGTGTGTGTGTGTGTGTGTGTG